ACAGTGTGGAGCTGGAGGAACACAGCAGGCCAGGCAGCAGAGGAGCAGAAAAAGTTGACGTTTCGGGTCAGGACCCTTCTTCAGAAAATCTATTTTTTTGAAGAAGGGTCCCGACCCGAAACATCAACTTTTCCTGCTCCTCTGATGCTGCCTGGCCTGCTGTGTTCCTCCAGCTCCACACTGTTATCTCTGACGCCAGCATCTGAAGTTCTTACTATCTCTTAGCTGGTTTTTCATCAACGATCACCTCCACGTTCAGGCAGCCAAGGTATTCTATAGTCTAATATGAAAGTTTTGACCACTGTTGAAGCAGATTAACTGCATCAGGTGGACACAAGGCTCATAAAAGTTGCACAAGCCTTCAAACTTAAGTATAGAAAGTCTCAATCATTCAAAAAAAAAAACGGTTTCTGGAAATTCAATGACGCTTAACATTGAGCTAACAGCATGATAAATTATTTTCATATAGATAGAAATGCTTTGCAACAGAATGTTGCTGATATCACTGGGGCAAGTCACCAGGATATGGAACATCTTAATTACAATATAAGGATTTCCAATCACCATCACTAATTCACATTTCTCATCAAGGTGAGATCGAATGCAATTTCACAACAGACAAGCTTCCTGAAAAAATGTTTCTTCTTTACTTACATTTTTTTTCTTCTGATATTCATGGAAAACTTTTGTGATCCTGTCATACTCCTAAAGTTAGAAAACATGCAAATACTTAATACGACCTTAATCCAGAATGTTCAATTGCCCAATTAAACATGAAGCTCAAGCTTATTCCCATTGTTAGAACATTTACACATTGTAAAGGCTTTCTTTAGCAAATAGTAACATTCTTCTCTGCCTCTAAACACATTTGGAGTAATAAAATTGTAAATCCTGAAGAAAGTTTGCTGATCTGAAGTCCTCCATTAAAAAAAAATCTATAAAGTTTATACAAGTGGTGGCTTGGTTTAGGATGGACAGTGAAATTAAGCCACTCCAAGATGCTCTCCCACTTTCTGCAGTGGCTGAATCAGAGCTCTACTGGTACCATACTCAATGGCCTCTTGATAAAGGTACCAGAACGTTCCTAGTAACTGTGGAAGGAATTGGATCTAATGAAAACTCACCTTCAAAATAGTAAAGAGGGAAATGTGCAGATTTTTCTCAAATATTACAAAGGCCTTTTTTGGGTAAGTAATTGTTGTGCAAATTGCAGTTTTAGTTTTTTTCTTACTTGTATAGAAATGACAAGGTGGATTTAATAATGTTGTTCAGTACTTGGCAACATTTGGTTCACTCAAAACTTGTAAGCTCCAAGGCACTTTTCAGTTTCAATTTGATCTTTTATTGAAAAGTAACTGATGATGGAAGGAGTGAAGAGAGGAAAGCAATGCTGTTTCAGTATTTCGTTGTGTATGGCAATTCAAATGCTAAATCCTTGGAACTCCTCCATTGTTTTTATCTAGTTTTTTTAATTTGCACGTTCTTCCAGTTGGTCTTGAATGTTACTTCACAGTTGGGCAAGTTGGTACACAAATACAGTAACAAAAATAAATCTTGCTAAATCAAAACCATAAACGACCTAGAATTCCAGATTTGCAGTCAAGTTCAAACATGCACTTCACTAGACGAGGATTGCTGGTTTATTGCAATAAATAATTCAGGCTGTTTTGATTACATAAGATTCTTAGAATTGTGCAAAGTGTGCGTTTACCCATGTACAGTCCTCAAGAGTCAGTGTAGCCAGCGAGAATGTGAGGTAGGGCCAAATTCAATTCTATCCTCAGTAAACAAACAACATGCACCGTTCCTAGCAAGACAGAATGGAATGAGGTACAGACCATGCTTCATTTTGCTCCCTCCCTCATTCATGCAGAGAGGTCAATTATTATATCAAAAAGTTGCCTTTGTTGGAATCAAGTAATTTAGCAGAGATAAAGAAAAGTTAAGCAATAAGAGTCCAAAAATGGTTCCTTCTGATTTCTGAATTTTAAAATAAAATTTTGTAAGTTTCATCACGAAAAGCTACAACTTCCTTGACAGAACCTTCCAAATCTACAACCTCCACCATGTAGAAGAACTTGGCTAGTAGGTACATATATGAACATTACCATTGTAACTTTTTCTCAAAACCACACTATCCAGACTTCAAATGACACAGTTATTTCAATGTCACCGAGTCATTAAATCCTAGAATGTTCCTTCCTAACAGCATTATGGGCACATTGATAACACAAAGACCACAGCACTTCCAAAAGGAAGCTCTCCACCACCTTAAAAGGGCAATTAAGGATGGGTAGCAAATGCTGGACTTACCAGCCACATTCAAGAAGAAAGAAGAGAATGCGCATATTAAAACAATTGATTAAAGCAATGTAGAAGTTAAGAATTTAGCATTTGATTTGTCATAAACAATGAAGTACTGAAACAGCACTGTTTTCCTCTTCTCACTCCTTTCATGAGTCACAGAATTTTTTTAAGTGAACAATGAACTAACTCAAATCACTTACACTCAGAATCCCTAGAGTGTGCAAACAGGCTCTTCAGCCCAACAAGTCTACACCGACCCTCAGAGCATCCCACCCAGACCCATCCCCCTAATCTACACATCCCTGAACACTACGGGCAATTCAGCATGGCAATCCACCTAGCCTGCACATCTTTGGACTGAGGGGGGAATCCGGAGCACCCGGAGGAAACCCACGCAGACATGGGGAGAATGTGCAAACTGCACACAGACAGTTGCCCAAAGGAGGAATCGAACCTGGATCCCTGGCGCTGTGAAGCAGCAGTGCTAACCACTGTGCCACCATGCTATCAGAAATATATATTTTTGAATTCTTACAAAAATCCTCATATATATTGATAATCATGTAGGTTTTAGGATGTTTGTTTAAAGAAGATCATTGGATTTGTTTCTTTTAATAAAATATATAACTTTATTCACTTTTTACATACCCCAACCAGGAGCTAAGTAAATTTGATCAGCATTACCTCCAGAAATATGGTCCCTCTACTGGATGAATATGCAATTACGTGTTTTGGACTTAAAAGGGATATATGCTTTATATGCGTGTCTACATCTTGATGATCTTGAAAGAAGGCAACTTATGCAACACTTTTCAGATCCTCAGGATATTGCAAAACCAACAAATAATATTTGAAATAGTCACACTGCTTGAAGGCTAATGATGATTTTAATAATTTACAACTCTATGCAGATAACTTGAGCAGTGCAAAATCTCAACCAGCAACAGAAAAATTACTGATTAATATGCTTGAGATATCTGGGTCAAGGAGTTAACGGTCATTCTAATACCACCATCGAACTTTTCATAGTCATGTGGATATGCCATCCAGACATCCACTTAGTTCTTTACCTGAAGGCCAGACCTTGCACAAGTTATTGCAACTCCAAATTTATGAGGAACGGCAACACATGTTTATTCACTTTCTAGATCAAGGCATTGCTGGCTAGGCAAATATGTATTGCTCATCCCTAATTACCCAGATGGCAAGTCAAGACTCAAACACATTACCTGGTCTGGCCTAAATGTGAATCTAGACCTACAGCAAAGACTGTAGTTTCCTTCCCTAGAGGACATTAGTGAATTAGATGGGTTTTTCCAATGATCAACTATGGTCATCATCTTACTTGTTAATTCCAGATTTCGTTTTTATATATTGAAATCAAATTCTATCATCTGCCATAGTGGGATTTGAACCAGGGTTCCCAGAATATTACTAGAATCTAGTGGCAGTCTAGTCTAATTCCTCTAGGTCATTGGTGACAGTGGGAAAGCAATGTCCTCCAGTAGCAGCCAATATTTCAATCAAATTCACAAGGCAAAGCTGCAATTACCTCTACCAAGTTGCACTTGTTGAGCTACCAAACACTTTAGATTTTGTGACATATAAATGATCCCACTTCAGCTTAAATATCTTCCAAGATATTAATCCAGACATTTTGACAGATTTCATCACACTCGGTGCACTAACCTGTTGGGTCTCTGCATGTTGAGGAAGTCTGCTCATCATAGCATCCATTTCACTGAACTTTTTCAGAACAGTTTGTACTTCTGCATGAAGCTCTTTGTACTCTGCATGCTGGTCATTAAATACAGCTTTGTAACGTTCACGTTCTTCAGGGGTTCGAATAGAAGGATATTTACTGAAAAAGAGAAAACTCAAAAATTCAACACCACGTTCTTTTAAAACTCTATGAAAGGCAAACTCATGTCAGCAACTAACGGATAATTTTGATATTCTGAATGAGCATAAGTAAGTTGTAAATGTCAGAGTTTCATTTGTTGTATAAAGCATTTAATCTTCCTAACAGGATACATTAAAGTGGGGAAGAGATGCTGATGAACTTATCTCCGAAGTTAGGTGCAGTTGCTCATTGAATGCCACCACAAATCAATTTCAGATTAAGAACCATATTAACCTGCTTTTAATTCTCAGTATGTTGGACACTTGGGTAGCCAAGGACAACATGCATTTGACAACCTCCATGTCACAAGGTGCGAAGTGGCCAGCCTATTTAATGAAATGGTTTTGATACAACAAGTACTTCTCTCGGACGTAATCCAGCAAGAGTCAAGAACATTGCCGGATATGGATGAAATGTGACTCTTGTGCCAAAAACTGATTTCCATCCATTGCCAAACCAGTTGGCTTTTTACAAAAATCAGTGGAATTATTTTGATTGTAATGTTTAAAACTGGATTTGAATTCTCTAACAGGTGGGATGTGACTTTATTTCCCCCTCCATTCTTGAATAGCAGTGATATATTTATTAACTTCTAATTGTCTGGAACCATTACATAATGTAGGGAATTGTGGAAAATTGGTCAGGACATTCATTATCTCTGGAGCTCTTTTAGAAATTTGGAGTGTAGGTTATCAGGTTCTGGAGACTTATTGCATTTTAATTTCCTGGCTCAGAGCACCTAGGTTACCCACTTTCCGGTTTACAATTTGTGACTTCTGCTGTGAGAAGATGCAAAACAACTTTTCAATGTCTAACATTTCCTCATTCCTATCTCTGTTTTAAGGAACAAAGTAGCTACTTCCCTTCTCCTTATAATTGTAAAAACTCTTTAAAAACCTCATTCAAGGCCATTTCTCCCTTATTAGCATTTTAGTAGCCCTTTGCTTGTTTTTAAAACACTCATGGCTCAGACTTTTTTCCCCTTTTTATTCATTCATGGAAAGAGGGCATCGCTGGCCATTTATAGCCCAGTGGTAATTCCCTACAGGGCAGTTAAGAGTCAACCACATTGCTGTGGGTCTGGAATCAAAGGACATCAGTGAACCAGATGGGTTTTTCCTGACAATCAACACTGGATTCATGGTCATTCCAGATATTTATTGAATTCAAATTCCACCATCTGCTGTGGCGGGATTCAAACTTGGGTCCCCAGAACATTACCTCCGGGTTAACAATCTAGTGACAACACCACTAGGCCAGCATCCACCCACACTGCCTCTTTTAATCTAATGCTTACCTTAATATAAGCTTTGAATGGATCTTGGATTAGATTTTAAACGAACATATTGAACAGCTTGATCAAATGTCTTCCATTGTATATTTTAGTCTATTTATCCAATGTTATCTCATGCCTATGCAACCGGTTAAGATTATTGGGGAGTGTTATTTTCAAACTTTTGTTTAACTTAATCACGATCACTATTTCCAGTACTTTACTACGAGATTATTAACTCTGAGCAATACTAAATATGAGCTTTATCCCTAATTGAGTCTACAACATTCTTCCAGGAAACTATTGTAAAAACGTTCTACAAGCTTTATTCCAGGAAACAATTGCAATTTTTATGGGTCAAGTCCTTATGAAAGTTAAAGTTTCCCTTAATTAGGTGTTTAATGCTCTATTAGATTGTTGATTTCGGGCTAATAAACTACTACCAGCAGTGTTGGTTCTTGCTATTCTTCATTGCCACCCACAATGATTCAAATTGGAAAGTCCATTTCTCACTCATGCCCTTATATCATCTATCTACTATGAGTGTCGTCCTTTCTCTTTTGTCATTCTGAATGTTTTAGAGATGTTTTGCATCCTGGAACACTTATTTTCTAACAATGGCAATCTTGCAACCATAGGTCGGTAATCACAATCAGGCCTGAATCATTTACACGTATTTCCGCCACTTGTTCATCTATCTTACTGCTTTGCTCCATGCATTCAGATAGTGATTTTTAAGCTATTTCCTGCTTGTACCTTACTCAGATAAGTTGGAGTGGATCAGAACTTAAATAAATGGACAAGCTTTTATCCTGGTCTTCTAAACCAACCTTCATCTGAACTAAGATAACAAGGTGTAGAGCTGGATGAACACAGCAGGCCAAGCAGCAGAGGAGCAGAAAAGCAGGAAAGAAAATGATTTTCTGAAGAAGGGTCTCGGCCCAAAATGTCAGCTTTCCTGCTCGGTCTGCTGTGTTCATCCAGCTCTATACCTTGTTATCTCAGATTCTCCAGCATCTGCAGTTCCTACTATCTCTTCATCTGAACTATTCCACTTTGTTACTTTATAGATATCTTTTCTTACTCTGACAGAAACAGGAGGCAGTGATGTAGTGGTAATGTCACTGAACTATAATCCAGTAACTCCAGGCTAATATTCAGAGGATGCGGGTTTGAACCTCGCTAACAAAAAGTCTATTTGATCTCTGCTCCCTCCCCTTTTACAGTCCTCGTCATTCAATTTGCCAGGACACTGTTCCTTACAGTATCTGATCAAAAGTACTGTCTCCCGCCCCCCAACCCCAGTGCCAGTGCTTCATCAATTGAAACTCATTTCTCACCAATCTCTGAATGCATGGTTCAGCTCAATTATCTACTTATCCTGTGCCGATTTGCTCACGGCTCAGGTAGAAATCCAAATTTCACCAACTTCGTGGTTCTGCTTTTCATTCTGGCTAACTCTTACTCCTTCAGCAGTTGTTTTTTTTTTTTTTTTAAAATCCTACCTGGGCTGTGGATACTCTTAAACACCACAACTGAACATTTCCCCTCCCGCTCCAAGTTCATCACACCTTGTCCCAAGATTTCCCTAATACTGGTACCAGTCATTGAGACACATTTTCGATTGCAGAGTGTCTATTTCCCCAGTGATACTGACTCCTAAAACTACATTCCTTTTCACTCCCTCCCTGCACCATGGTTGATTTGCCCATACATTATGTAGTCCCTGCTCTCACCCACACAAGCTACGTGGATCTTGGAGGGGGTTCCAAAATAATAAAACTCAATTCCCAAGGGCTATTAATAAAAAAATGACATTAATTTTGTCAGGGGCTGTTTTCTGATTTCTGGGGACTCCTTTTTTGTTCTAACTAAGTTTAGAACATAATTTGGGGTATTTCCTTGTAACTTATCAGTATTCTTTCAAATTTGGATTTGAAATATACAGATTGCCAATGATAAGATAAGATCAGATTTATCTAAAATTTGATGCAATAAAAAAGCAATTGCTTACGCCTTGCCTTCACAATTACTGTGTGTTGATCACTCCTATCAATGCTGCAACAGACAGATGCATTTGCAACAGTTTTTTGGTGATAAAAGATTAAGTTGGTTATTTCCTCATTGTTTCCCTGATTGCCTGCTACAGACCTAGTCCAGTGGCAATGCCCTTGCAGATTCTGCAAGTCATGGCACTGTTAAGTGACTCTTGCTGATGAACATTAAAGTCCCCAATCCAGAGTACATGCTGTCTCCTTGGCACCTTCAGTGCTTCGTCCAAGTGTTATTCTGGTGTTTAAAGTGGAGGAGTACTGATTCTCTAGTTAGGGGGATTGGGATGGTTGGGTGACAAAGTGGGTAGTAATCTGCAGGTGGTTTTCTTGTTCACACTTGACCTGATGCCATGGGAAATAAAATGCATGTTGAGGACTGAACAGACAACTACCTTCTGATTGTATACCACTGGACTGACATTTCTGCTGGGTCCATCCTGCTCACAGAACAGGACATACCAAGGGCTGGTGATAGTGGTGTCTTGGATTTAGTCTTACACTTAGAATCAGACGTCAGACTGTTTAAAAAAAAACCTGAAAACTACAGATGCTGGAAATCAGGAACAAAAACAAAAATAAAAATTGCTGGAGAAACTGGAGTTGTGAAGGAGGATCACTGGACCCGAAACATTAACTCTGATTTCTCGCCACAGATGCTGCCAGAAATGAGTTTTCCAACAATTTCTGTTTTTGTAACATCAGACTGTTGCTTGTCTAACCTGTGGGACAGCTTTCCAAATTTTGGTACAAGTGCCTCAATGTTGCTAAGGAGAACTTTGCAGGGTCAACAGTGCTGGGTCTGTCATTTCCAGTGCCTAGGTCAATGCTGATGGTCCGAGTAGCTAATGTAAACCCTCTACTTAAAGAAAAGAAGCAGAGATAAATCAAGGAATTATAGACTTGTCAGCCTGATGTTGGTAGAGGGCCAAACTGTAGAGCAGATTATTAGCTGAGCATCTGGAAAGCAGTGGCAGGATTGGACACAGTCAGCGTGGATTTATGAAAGGGAAATCATGCTTGACAAATCTACTAGAATTCTTTGAGGATATAACTAGTAGAGTTGATGGACAGGAGCTAGTGGATGTGGTCTATTTAGACTGTTGGAAGGCTTTCAACAAAGTGTGTGTAAAATTAAAACACATGGAATTAGGGTAGTGTATTGAGATGGATAGAAACCTGTTCGGCAGACAGAAAACAAAAGAGGAGAAAGAAATCTTTGAGTGGCAGGCAGCGATGAGTGGAATGGAATAGGGATCAGTGCTATGGTCCCAGCTATTCCCAATACTTATTAATGATTAGATGAGGGAATCACATGCAAGATCTTCCAAGTTTGCAGATGATACAAAGCTAGTTGGGAGGGTGATCTGTGAGGAGGATGCAGAGATGCTTCAGTGTGATTTGGACAAGCTGAACAGGCAAATGCATGACAGATGCATTATAATGTGGATAAATATGCAATTATCCACTTAGGTAGCAAAAACAGGGAGGATGATTAGCTGAGGAAGGTTCTGAGGAAGGGTCACCGGACCCGAAACGTTAACTGTTTTCTCCTTCACAGATGCTGCCAGACCTGCTGAGCTTTTCCAGCAACTTTGTTTTTGAGGCTGATTAGTGGAATGGTTATAAATAGAGAGAGGAGAATATGCAACAGGACCTGGGGGTCCTCATAAACCAGTTGTCATGTGAGGTAACAGCCCGTGGATCTGCATGTTTAAGTTACCAAATAGCATGTTGGCCTTCACAGCAAGAGGATTTGAGTACAGGAACAGGGACGTTTTGCTACAATTATACAGAGCCTTGGTGAGATAACACCTGGAATATTGAGTGCAGTTTTTGTCTCCTTATTTAAGGAAGGATGTTCTTGCTGTAGAGGGAGTGCAAAGGTTTACCTAGGATGGCAGGTCTGACCTATGGGTAGAGACTGAATTGGTTAGGGTTGTATGTAGTGGAAGTCAGAAGAATTGAGGCCGGGGGAATAGAATCTCACAGAAACCTGGACAAGCTAGATGCAGTAAGGATATTGTGGTGGGTGAATCCAGAACCAGGAGTTACAGTCTAACGATATGGGGTGCACCATTTAAGATTGGAATGAGGAGACATTTCCTCACCCAGAGAGTGGTGAGCCTGTGAAATTTGCTACCCCAGAAAGCAGTTGAGACCAAAACATTGTCTGATTTCAAGAGGAGTTGGATATAACACTTTAGGCAAAAGGAATCAAACCATATGGGGAAAATCAGGAACAGGCTATGGAGTTGGAATTTCAGCCATGACCATAACGAATGGTACAGCAGGTTCCAAGGATTCCTTTTTTATTCTTCTACTTCTTGCTTTTGATCCAACAAGCGGCTCACTAGAGCATTCAGAGTCAACCAAATTACTATGGGTCTGAAGTCACAGGTAGGCAAGACTAGGTAAGGATGGAGAAATTTCCTTCCCTAAAAAAGGACATTAGTAAACCAGGTGGGTTTTCATAACAATTACCTTTTTAATTGCAAATACTTTAAAAAATTTAAATTTACATTCTGCCATGTTGAGATTCAAACACACCCCGCCCACCCCCAGTTAAAGAGCTGAAACTGTGCAAAAGAAAGAAGAACGCTCCCCTCACCTGTCTCAGTTTTATTTATTACATACAGTATGCAGCCCCACTTGTCAACACCATTCACACAGGATCTAGGGTTCAAAAGTTTAAATTTGTAAACTTATACTCACGCTACGTAGTCAGCCATCACAAGTGGTTTCGGAATATGCCCTGCAGGAATATATCCACTTAGTACCATAGGTTTCATTTCACCTGGTCGCAATTCTTTCTGGTTTGTATCAACAGCTACAGATCTATCACCGTTAACTCCCAACGCACTCTATAATTAAAAGCGAACACAAACTGGAGTTATACTTTTATGGAACCTAGGAGTTAGAAGGACTGCATAAAGGTGCGGCTGACTTTTCCCAAGAATATATAATCATTATTCAGGACATTTCAAAGCCCCAATATCCAACGAATAAATTCAAAGATCCTGATAAAGCACCTTCCAAACCCACAACCACATCCATCTACAAGGACAGGGCAGCAGATAGGAACACCACCACCAACAGGTTCCCTTCTAAGCTATTCACCAACCTGACTTAGATAAAAGATATGCTATTCCTTCACTGTCACTGGGTCAACATCCTGGAATTCCCTTCCTAATATTGTGGGTCTACTGACAACATACTAAGTGTAGCTCCTCACCACCACCTTCCCAATGGCAACTGGGTAGACAATAAATGCTGGCCTAGCTAGCAATACCAACATTACACAAGCGAATTTAAAAAAAACTGAAAAGATTGGTTGCTGCAATGTAGGAAACGTAATCACTTGTAATATACTTTCTCTTCCCGAATCCATGATTATGTTAAATATGTTCATATTTGTCTCTTTAGTCTTTGGATTTTGATTATTCTGAAATATGCCACAAACTGAAAATGCATGCTAGGACTGAAGTTTTCCATCCTAGCTGACTCAGTTGGTAATTTAGGTGCAGATTTGTATTATGCTTGTCATGAAGGTCTTTATTTAAATTCTGGTGTTTCAGCTCAGTTGATTTCGAGTAAGATAACGGGAGGGGCGCTACATTAAGTTTCTGTCTCCAATTTGGGGAATTACACGTAGAGGACGAGGAGGTGATTTCTCATTAGATAGTGCACAGTTACAAGGAAAAGGATAGGAACCAAGTATCAGATGACCTCCTGATAAATGTCTTTAGATACAAAGTAAATATGTTTCATACGCACCAGTTAATAAAAAGTTTGTTGTACAAGAACATGATCAAGATGTTTCAACTGCACAAATTATTTGGGCACATCTTTTTGTCTCCCAGATTTAAAATGTCCAATATGTCACTGCCTTGTTCTTCTTCACCTTCCCATTCACAAAGCAACTGAGTGCACATTACAAAAGCATCAACAAAGAATCTTTACTGAGATTACATGATCCCAGAGCTGACTGCTCTAGCCTGTTTGAAAAGTATATAGAATAACTTGAATATCATGTCTTTGATGCATGCTCACCACCTCAAAGCACAGGTGAGAAAGGCCAAACAGCCCATTTCAGGAATTCATTGCAGACATTTACATAATTCTAGGTCTTTGCTTTAACTAATGAAGGGAAAGTTCATTGTATTGAAACACTTGGGAGGAAAGTCCAGATAGCGATAATTTTGCTTCTACAAGTTTGAACAGATGTCTTCTCACTCTTCAGTTATTTTCTGTATGACCTTTACAATATTATTTAATATTTTATCAACTTTGATTAAACTAACCCTTGGGCATCATTCGAGGACGAAAAACCCAAGCTTCTCCAGCCTTCCCTGCAAGTAAAATCTCTAAAATCGGAGCAGCTGTTTTAACTCTCATAACTGTTTTCAACACTAGGTCCCTTTGCTGTAGGGATCATTTTAAGGGTGACCAGAGCATGCAAAGTTACAGCATAACTTCTGGACTTGTACTCTGCATTTCTGATAATGTAATTCAGTATCCTACTTGTTTTATAGATCGTTGCTTTGTGGCTTTTGGGCACGTAATGCCTACGACTACCAACATCTTACACTGCAAATGAATTTGTATCAATACCATTCAAGATCTGTAATGAATGTTTCCCTCCTTAGACAATCACCTATTTTGAATTTAGTCTGCCAGCATTCTTCTTACATATGCCTTGCAACTCATTCTATTCTTTCTAAGTTGTCACTCCTGGTGCCACGATATGTCTAGGTTTGACTACCTGCAAATTTCACCAAATGGCATTGAGTTACTTAGATTCTAAAAATAGTGGTGGTCCCACCAATTGGGAATCTGTACTCCATCCCATATCTACTCCTCTGACAAGTAGTTTGCTACACTGAGAAATTGCTTTAAGTTCCAGAACCAATAGCTTTGTGTGCATAATTGCCAAATATCTTGAACTCTTCAGTTTTGAAAAGGCATTGTCTTGAAATGTTAATTGTGTATGTCTCTCTCTCTCTCCACAGATGCTGCCAGACCTGCTGAGTTTCTCTGGCATTTTCAGTGTTTGTTTCAGATTTCCAGAATCCATAGCATTTTGCTTTTATTTGGCAGTTTTCAATCAATTCAATAGCAGTGCATGTAACGTCTTCAAAAAGAAAGCAGCACCTCACACCCTATAATCTCACTCAATATATTATAATTACCTTCTATCACTGATTGAGTTTTTAGAGCCCAAGATAGCTACATTTTTAAAATCATTAATTGTGCTCAAGTTTAATGCTCTATTAAAGTTATTTTGAAATAATTTTCAAAAAAAAAAAAAAATGTTTCTCAGTAGCTAGTTAATGAAACTGGGCAATATGGAGACTGAGCAGTCTTGGGTTCAATTCTGATTTTGGCAAAGTGAGTTTGAATAAAACTCAAGGAATAATACAATTAAGGAGGTTATTCAGCTCATTACACACTTCCATTTTTGAAAAAGCCATCAACTTAGTTCCACTGCCTTCTTCTGTTGCTTTAATAGCACGTTTTTCTCCTTTCCAAATATTAATCCAATTCCTCTTGAATATTGCTACTATTCAGGGGCATTGTGTTTCAAATCATATGTCGACAAACAAAAAAACTCAGTTCTTCTTGCTCATCAATTACCACAAATCCTTGTCCTTCAGCTGCCAACCTTGCTAGTAGTTAGCATTGTCACTCTACTTAGACAATGAAAACTTTGCATTTTGAACACCTCTATCTGGTTATTTGAGTGAGCTATGTAAATATAGTACACCTGATCCCTTAATTCCTGTTGTCCTCAAATACCTGTAAGAACTGACATTTTATAAGCAGCTATTGGATAACAACCAGAAGTGGTCGACTGAACTTACCCTGCACAGTTGATGTTGAAGCTAATATCAGACAGCTGATTATTTGCCTTGTAAGAGAAACTAATAAACCAGGAACCAAAATAAAAATCTTGCTGATTTGTATGGATCAACACAAAATTATACCATTTGCCAACAAATCATTTTTATGAGTTTGAAAGTAACTGACTCAATATTTTTCTTCTTGCCCTCAGATTAAACACCTCAAATTTGGTCAGCGGTCAGGACAGCAGGGTGTGACCATGAGCGAGGCAGACAGAGAGATCCAAGAAGTGGTGCTGCAGGAGCCTCAGCCTTCAGCATGTTTAACAGGTTTGAGACCCTCACACCCTGTGAGGATGAGAGAGGGGGCTGTAGGGAGGATGCGTAAACTGATCACAGCACCATGGTACAGGGAGCCAGTCAAGAGTGGGGAGAAAAAGAGAAATGTAGTTGTAATCAAGGTTAACAATCAGGAGAATAGACACTTCCTCTGCGCCTTCTGTCTGTAACACTATATTCTGCATTCTGTTCTATTACCCTAATGTAATTATTTAAGGTATGAATTGTCTGGTTAGCATGCAAAACAATACTTTTCACTACATCTCCATAAATGCGACAATAATAAATCAAATACACAGTTCTGTGGCAAGGGGCAAGAGTACCAAAGTTGGCTTGCCTGCCTGGTGCCTGGATTCAAGAAATCTCATCTGGGTTGCAGAGAAACTTGGAGCAGGAGGGGAAGATCCAGTTGTTGTGGTCCATGTAGGTACCAATGAAACAGGCAGAAAAGGAAAGGGAATGAGCAGCTAGGAGTTAAATTAGAAAGCAGAACCAAAACGGTAATCATCTCCAGATTACTACTGACCCATGAGCTAATTGGCACAGGGTAAATGAGATGAGAGAGGTAAACACATGGCTCTAAAGGTTGGCATGGGAGAAATGGGTTTGAATTCGTGGAACAATGACCCCAGTACTGGGGAAGGAGGAAGTTGCTCCAATGGCTCCATCCGAATCATGCTGGGGCCAGAATCTGGGTGAATCACATAACTAGGCTTGTGGACAGAGGGGAAATGGAGTTGCCTGGCTAGTAAACGAAATTAAATGAATAACAAGAGGTGATCAAGTCAGAAAGTGTGAAATCTGTGGGTAGAGTTGAGGAACTGCAAAGAATAGACCCTGATGGGAGTTATGTACAGGTCTCCTAGCAGTAGTCAGGATGTGAGACAGAAAATAAAATCAGGAGATAGAAAAGGAATGTAAGAAAGACACTGTTAGAATTAACATTGCAGACTTCAATATACAGGTGGGCTGGAAAAAAATCAGACTGACAGTGATCCCAAGAAAATGTAACATGTGGAATGCCGAGAGATGATTCTTTTGGAGCAGTTTGTGGCAGAGCCCACTAGGGAACAGGCAATTCCGACTTAGGTGATGTGAAATGATGCAGACTTGATTGTGAAGCTGAAGGTAAAGGAACTCGTAGGGTCTAGTGACCATAATAATGTCACCCTGCAGGTGGAGAACAAGAAGTTTACTCAATTGTAATATCGTTGCAATTGATTCAAAGGTAACTACAAAAGACATTAAAAAGGAGCTGGTCAGAATTGATTGGAAGGGGAGCCCAGCAGGGAAGATGGTAGAGCAGCAACGGCAGGATTTTCTGGGATAGTTCAGGAGGCACAGCAGAAACTCAGGCTAAGAAAGAAGCAGCATATTAAGGAGAGGACAAGTCAACCATGGCTAACAAGGAAAGTCAGGGACAGCAAAAAAGCAAAAGAGAAAAACATACAAATGTGGTGAAGATTAGTCTTTAAAAACTGGTGGAAGACACTAGTAGTATACCTGAACTTCAAGAGAGTCAGGGGGCAGATGTGACTGTAGCGGTCACCACTAAGCTGATGATGTTGGGGGAAGTTGAAAGGTTTGAAGGTGGATAAATCATCAAGACTGGACAGATTGCACCGCAGAGTTCTGAAGGAGATAGTTGTGGATATCATGGAGGCATTGGTGGCAAACTTTCAGGAATCACTGGAGCCAGGGAGAGTCCCAGAGAATTGGAAAATGGCTCATGCAATATCCATGTTTAAGAAAGCAAGGAGGCAGAAGATAAGCCAGTTCGCCTGACCTCTGCATTGATTAGATCTTAGAGGCCATTATTAAGGATGAAATTGCTGAGTACTTAGAAGTGTATGGTAAAATAGGACTGAGCACGGCCTCATCAAGTGGAGGTCATACCTGACAAATCTGTTACAAATTTTTAAGGAGATAACAAGCAAGTTAGTCAAAGTTAGAACCAGTCAATGTTATCTATTTGGATTTCCAGGAGACTTTTGATGAGGTACCACACAACAGACTGCTAAATAACAGCCCATTGTGTTAGGGGCAAGTTACTGGCATGGATAAAGGACTGGCTGAGAGTAGCAATAAAGGGGTCTTTTTCAGGATGGCAGCCTAGTGGAGTTCTGTAGAGGTCAGTGTTGGGACCACAACAATTCAAGTTATACATTAACAATCTGGACGAAGGAACTGAGGACATTGTTGCTGTGCTTGTGGATGACACAAAGATAGGTGGAGGGACAGCTAGTTTTGAGGAAGCAGGGAGGCTACAGAAGGACTTGAACAGGCTAGGAGAGTCGGCAAAGAAGTGGCAAATGAAATGCGATTTGGGAAAGTTATGAGGTCACGCACTTTGGTCGGAAGAACTGAAGTGTAGACTACTTCTAAACTGGGAAAGGCTTCAGAAATCTGAAGCACAAAGGGACTAAGCAGTTCTAGTTCAGAATTCTTCTAAGGTTAACTTGCAGGTTCAGTTGGCAGTTAAGAAGGCAAATGCAATGACAGCATTCATTTCAAGAGGGTTAGAATACAAAAGCAGAGATGTACTGCTGAGGCTGTATAAGGCTCTGGTCAGACTGCATTTGGAATACCGAGAGCAGTTTTGAGCCCCATATCTAAAGAAGGATGTGATAGCATTGGAAAGGGTCCAAAGGTGGTGTACAAGAATGATCCCAGGAATGAAGGGCTTGTGACAATGGGGGATGTTTCAGGACTCTGACTCTGATGGAGTTTAGAAGGTTGGTTGGGGTGGGGATCTCACCGAAACTTACAGAATACCGAGAGGCCGGGTTAGAGTTGACGTGGAAAAGGTGTTTCACTAGTAGGAGGGACTGGCATCAGAGGGCACAGCCTCAGAGTGAAGGGACGATACTTCATAACAGATAACAAGGAATTTCTCAGACAGAGGATGGTGAATCTATGGTACTCATTGCTGCAGAAGATTGTGGAGGCCGAGTAATTTAATCTATTTTAGACAGAAATAAATAGGTTCTTGAGCAAGGTGATCAAAGATTACAGGGAGAAGGCAGGAGAGCGAGTTTGGGAAACATATCAGCCATGATTGAATGATGGACCCGAATAAATGGGTCGAATGGTCTAATTCTGATCCTTTATCTGATGGTCTTATGAATTTAAAACTTTGCCGTAATTTAATTTGATCTTCCATGAAATAGTCTGCGGTAATAACATTTGTGATACCTTAACGGCTACAGCAAATAATTTCCTAATGGAACTCAGCAGGCAAGTTAGTGCATATGAATAACCCTCTTTCGAAAAGAAATCAAATTAGGAAACAGTGTGGAATTGTTGACTATAGATTTGCATTCTTACCGGTTCCACTGATGTACCAGCCTCTGTACTTCTCATCTAGGAAAGATGTACAATTAAAAAATGTCAGAAGTATGTTTTCAAACCTAATACACAAACACTAGATACATTGAATTGCAACCTATAACATGGAACTCCTTGAGAATTTTGTTAAATTGGCAAAATGAATTGGCTGAGAAATGACTATTTTTTTTTGTTTATAGAAGTAATACAAGCCCTGGGCTAAGCACATAATTCTGAATTTCTTCACCAACCTAATTCAAGTCCTTCAATTCATTCTAAAGGTGTTGATCAATAGAGGGGTTGCAGCTTCCCGAGCACCAGAACCTCTGTTGTCCACTTTTATCACTTAAGTTTTTATTCTATCCTGAATGGCTGTCTTTAATCACCTAGTTTACCTACTCCTTTCATATTTCTCTCTCTGGACTCCTTCTCCACCTATCTACTCAAGTCTCCCCTGTCCAACTGCCCCCTCCTCCTCCAACCTGGTCTTCAGCATAAATACCACTTTTCCTAGCTAACAGTTCTGAAGAGTTGTCATCGGACTCAAAAGGTTAATTTTGCTTTCTTCCCATAGATCCTGCCAGACTTGCTGTGTTTTGCTAGCAATTTCTGCTTTGTTTCACATCAACGTGTCTTGATTGGTGCAAGTTTTATTTAAAAAAAGAAAAAAAAAATCGGTCAGCAATGTTGATTTGTTTAAACAATGGCTCAGAATATTTAGGATACAAAGATCACTGCAAATTGCAAATCAGAAACCTGAAATAAACTTTTTTTTTTTTTGGGTCTTTTCCCCAGGTGGGGGAATTCAAAACTTGAGGTCATAGGTTTAAGGTGAGAAAGGAAAGATTTAAAAAGGGACCTGAGGGGAAACCTTTTTGACATAGATGGTGGCTTGTGTGTAGAATGAACTGCTAGAGGAAGAGTAGATGCAGGTACAGTTAAAAGACATTTGCACAGATGCATGAATAGGAAACGTTTAGAGGAATATAGGCCAAACATAGGCAAGTGGGACTAGTTTAGTTTGGGAAACTTGGTCAGCATGGGCGAGTTGGACCAAAGGATCTGCCTCTGCGCTTTATGACTATGACTCTATAAAGACAATTTGGGAACTCATTCCATTTTATCCAGTCATCTCAGTGGGTTATTACATTGACTCCTTGCATTAGACCTTGTTCATTGTGACATTTCAGAATTAAAATCTCAAAAAGATTAGAAAGTGAACCTATTGTACCATAGAGCTCACTGTGCCTACTTCTCTCAGAAACCTGTTGTGTTTGGGTTCCACAGAATGAATTCTCTGCTGTTTACCAAATTACAAGATTTAGCTTCAATTTTCTAACTTGTGTACAAGTGGTCTTCACAGTGGGTCAGAGTGCAGAAAAGGTGAAAGAAGTGTCAAGTTGTCAAATAGTGATCACCAAATTAGCATTAACAAAGCTCAGTGACAACACTGATTGGCTTGGAAATGTTTTCAATGGTAGGCAAAACAGCTCAACATACAAACTGAAGCAATCAGCTTTCATCCATGAAAACCCCTTCAATTCTCTGCTAAACCAAGATGACATCCATCCTTCCAGTTGGGCAGTACACAATCAAAGATTCAAGAACCATTTTTCATTTTCACACCAACAATGTATTGGTCTTTGTTGGGAGTAATTTGACATATGCAAAACAAAAACACAGTTGGATAACCAAAGCAGATGTGGTGAAAATATTATTGCTTACTCTTAAGAATGAAGCAGGGGATGGGAATGCGTTTGGGTTTATTCTGTTTAAAAAGAATTACCTCATATTCTGCATATTCTTTTTGTTTCCTCTTTGCCTCATGCCTCCAAAGCTTTAGGCACACAATTGAACTGATGAGATAAAGAAACATTGTAGCAAACAGGAAGATGACTGCAGCAATTTGTCCCCCTTCTACACGACAAAACGTAGAATTTATTGGAGTGTTGAAGAGAGGATAATAACAAAGCCCACCACGATTCATGTCATTTAAATACACTATAGCAGCAGCCAGGAAGAGAATAAACAGGACAATATTAATGGCAAACTCAGTCAGTGGCCACCAGTTGGAATCCAGTAAAATAGTCCGATAATACATGGACATACCCAGTACGAGTAAAATAATGGTGGCAACCCATGCCAAGCCTGCAACGACAATGACAAAAGGAGTTTTTGGTCCATCATAATAGTATCCTCCTTGCAGACTGTTGGCAACATGACTATATGGACGTGAGTAACCAAACATATTGTACCACTCATTGTCCTTATGTATGTAAGCACAGACACAGGCAAATACAGCTGCTCCAGATAGTAACTGAACTACACCCAAGATTCTCAATAAACCAGCCCATGACTTCATGTAGGAGTATTTCATGTGGTACACCTGCACCTTCTCACTGTAGCTCTGCACCGTGCGGGTATGACGATCCAACGAATCATAGGGATCTCGAGGCAACATGACTTCAGTTTCTTTCCGAGAGTTATAGCTCCCTCCAGAGCCTCCATATGGGTCCCTGTAAGAACTAGCCGATTTCTGTTCATCTACTCTGGATTGTTCTTTAGAAGAAGGAGTGGGAGAGGCAGGTGGCGAACATTCCACTCCCTCACTAATGTAATTGGTTGGAGGTGCTGTATTCCACTGTTGATCATCGTTTTTACTTTTGAACAAGTTTTTCACAGAATCTGGGATGAAACGTCTTACTGGTTTCAACTCTAGAGAAGTCACAGGGTCATCACTTTCAGCTAAATAAAATTCAGGACCTACAGGTGGCTGCAGAGGCAGAGGTGGTGGTGGCAGTGGGTCTGCACTGTCTGCTAAATTACAGTCCTGAAGACATTTAGAATCTGATACAGGGAGAAAGTTCTCCTGCTGAGACAGATGCGAATGCTGTCCTTCTCGAGGGACCTCATCATATTGAGACACTCTTTCACGATTCCTACGAGTGTCATGAGAAACTCTTGATCTTTGACCTGAAGATGCTCCTGAGGACATTGGTAATGCTTACCCCTGCAAGGTTAAAAAAAAATTGAATTTATTTGCCCAATTTCGTTTTCTCAACATTAATAAAGCCTAAATCACAAATATTTACATTTCAAGGAGATAATGAATTTTGATAACTTACAGTCAAACCAAAATACCAGAAGAAGCTTTGAAGAATTTTTCAGATTTGCCAATGGACCAAAATCAAAACCCCCTGCTGTCTAACATGCTACAAACTGTCACCTTCATGTACCATTCAGCAATTTTTTCCCACATCCTTCTGTGAATGGGGGAAGACAAGCAGGGTGTACTGAAATAAAATAGATTTTAGGCACAGGAGCCACATACTCTTGCAGAAAATAGAGTTAACAAAAATTATTCCTGCTCCTCAGGGACTGTTAGGCACTAGCTTTTAAAATCATCAATCCCTTCAGGTTTAGCCATTGGCAGTCCTTGAACAGCAGCTTGGGAAGGCAAAGAAGCAAGTCTGCCTACTTAGAAGTCTGTCTTTCTCTACACTACGCAAGCAAGATACGGACTCTGCAGCATGCCAGAAAGTTCAATCCCTTTCAGTTGAGCTGTCATTAGAAAGGCATAAATGATCAAATGGTGAAGCAAAAGATACCAAACACTGCAGTACTCATCCAAACTGGCAAAAGAACCCACACCATATTGAAACCACAATAATGGAGCGATCTTTAGTGCTGGGAGATAAGTTTTGTTGAGCACTTCAAGGTGCCCTTAGGTGGTGAGCTAGAGTTCATTTAGTGTAGGTAACCCCACGATGCCACAGGGAGGGGGAGGGGAGTGCATACAGTTGGCAGGATATTAACCCAGCAACGCAGAAGAAATAAGACATTTCCAAGTCAGGAGGGGAATTGGCTTAGAATGGAACTTGCAGTTGGTGGTGTTTCCATGTATCTGCTTGTCCTTCTAGATGGCAGACGTTGTCAATTTTCAAGGTGTTATGAGAAGTCTTTGTGAATTTCTGCAGTGCATCTTGTGGATAGTACACACTGCTACTACTGCATGTCAGTGATGGAGGGAGTGAATGCGGTTGCTGAGCAAGTAGGCCATTTTGAACTGAATGCCATCAAGTTTCTTGATTGTTGTTGGACCTGCACTCATCCAGGAACGTGCACAGAATTCCATTAAACTCCTGACTTATGCCTTGAAGATGACTGATGGGGCCTGGGGAGTCCAGAGGCAAGTTCCTCACTACAGGATTCCTACCTTCTGACCTGCTGTCATAGCCATAGTATCGATAATGCTTCTGTATCTCTTCAAAGAAAAGCCCATGATGTTAACAGTGGGGAGATTCAGTAACAGCAACGCCACTGAGGATCAAAGGGCTTTGGTGAAATTTTGTTGTTGCAGACAGACATTACTTGGCCTGTGTGGCGCAAATATTACTTGCCACTTATCAGCCCAAACCCGAATATTGTTCAGGTTTGCTGCATTTGGACATGGGCTGCTTCAGTACCCGAGGAGTCAGAATGGTGTTGAAACTGGCAGTGAGAATCCACACTTTTAGTTTTGTGATGGAGATATGACCATTGATGCAGCAGCTGAGGATTGTTGCCCTGGGATACTTTGCATGGCCCTGCTACCTCTGAGTCAGGAGGCCCAAGTTCAAGTGCCACCTTCTCCGGAGATGTGTCACAACAGCTGAATGGGTTGATTAGAAAATATCTACCCAAAACTCCTGCAGAGATGTCCGACCTACAACCATCACCACAAGTACCTTCCTTCATGTATGACTCCATCAGTGAGGTCTGTTCCCTTCCTTCTCTCTAATGTGAGGTTGACTTCCAATGCCAACCCAAGCTCAGCTTCTGACTCCATATCCTTTATACTACACAGAATGCAATTGGTAACAATAACTATGAAGATTTTAATATTCATATTGATTGGGTCAATCAAGTTGGAAAGGGTAGCTATGACAACAATTCAGAGAGTTAGGGATAGTTTCCGAGAGCAAAATGTCACACGGCCAACCAAAGCACAGGCTTTCTTGGATCTGTTAATTGGTAAAGTGGCACATTTAACAAATGAACTCACAGTAAAAGATCCCTAGGAAGTAGGTTCATAACACAGTACAATTCTCTATTCAGCTTGAGTGAGAGAAACTTGGGTCAGAAACATCCATGTTGAACTTAAGTAATGGGAATCACAATGAAACGAAAATAGTTAGCTAAAAAGTGGACTAGATAGACAGATTAGCAGAAAAGACAATAAGCAAGAAACAGCAGACATTTAAGGAGGTTGTCTATGATACTCAACAACAAAAAAAATCCCTATAAGGAGGAACAATTCTAAGCCATGACTAACCAAGGAAGTTCAGAGAGTATAATTTGAAAGAAACAGCAAACATGGAAACAAAAAGTCTACGATAAAGTTAGAATCTAGCAAAGGAGGACTAAAAAAACGGCAGAAAGTGAAAATAAATGATGGGAGCAAACTTGAGAGGGATATAAAAGAAAACTGACAATAACAGCTTCTTTAAACATATAAAGAGAATGAGATCAAAGTGAACATAGGCCCCTCAGGAAATAAATCTAGGGAGATAGTTATCTAGAACAAGGAAATGGTAGAGAAGTTAAACTTCTTTTTTGAATCAGTCTTTATAGTGGAGATACTTTGAACATCCTATTAATACCAAAGATTTAAGTGTCAAGAATAGGGAAGTAATACTATTCAAACTATTGAGGCTGAAGGCAGATAAGCCCCGAGCTCTCATGACTTGCATCCTAGGATGCTGAAAGAAGTAGCTATAGTGATAGTGAATACATTAGCTGTAATTTTCCAGAAGTCCTTGGATTCTGGAAAAGTACTGGAGATTGAGAAAACTGCCAATGTGATATCCTTTTTCAAAAAGACAGTCAAAAAGCAGGCAACTATAAGCCGATTACCTAACATCTCTTGTTGGAAAAATGTTGGAATCAGTTAAGGAAGCACATTTGGAAAATCGCAGAGTCACCATGGATTCATGAAAAGGAAATCATATTTGACTAATTTATTAGAGTTTGTCGGGGAAGTCTCAACCAGAGTGGATAGAGGGGAACCTGTGGACATGTTGAATTTCGACTTCCAGAAGGCAAGGTACCTCACAGAAGTTTAAGTCATTAGCAAACAGCCTAGTGTTGTAGGTCGTATACTGGCGTCAATAGAAAATTGGCTAATGAGCAGGAAACCCAATGGGGAATGAGAGACTTTTTTTGAAAAAAAAAGTTAGCGACATGTAACCAGTGGGTTTTCACAGGGATAGCAACAGTTTACAACAGCTATTCATGACTTGGGAGGAAGGAATCAAATATACTGTGGCCAAATAGGTGGAAAGACAAGTTTTGTTAAGGAAATTCATAGGTTAAGTAGATGGGCAAAAAGTTACCAAATGGAGTACAGCATGAGAAAACATGAAGGTTTTCAGCTTGGAAGGGAGAACAAAGTATCATTTAAATGGAGAACAAGTGCAACACAAAGGGACTCGAAATTACTTGTGCACAACACACAAAGTTGTACACAGGTGCAGCAGGTTATCAGGAAAGCTTATTGAATGTTGGCCCTTATTTCAACAGGGTCAGAGTATAAGAGTAGAGAAGTCTTACTGCAACTGTACCAGGTGCTAGTGAGACCATATCTGCAGTACTGTTAGAAGTTTTGGTCCTACGTAAGGAAAGATTTCATTTTATGAAGGCGGTTCAAAGAAGGTTCACAAGCACGATCCCAGTGATTGTCTTAGGAGCAAAGACAAAACAGGCTGGAACTCTACTCACTGGATTTAAGAAGAATGAGAGGTGATCTCATTGTAATATATAGGATTCTTAAGGGACTGTTTCAAATTTGAGACAGAGATGAGAAGGAATGTCTTCTCTCAGACGGTTCTTGCACTTTGGAACTCTTTGCTAGAGAGCAGAAGGGGCAGAGTCCCTGGGATAGATAGATTCTTGATCATAAGGGGCATCAAGTGTCATAGGGAGAACACAGAAAAGTGGACTGGAGGAATATTGGACCAGCCATGATCCTTGAGTGGTGGACACACTCTACTCCTGTTCCTATTTGTTTTTGGTTCTCTCACAAACCACCTGCTACTGAAATACTCGAAGCACCCATGACACGCAGACTTGACCATTTCCAATAACCTGGCCTGTCTTGTGTTGTACACAAGGAAGTTCAACTGATCTAAAAGACTGCCGACCATATCCTTTAACAAGTTCTGCTCATCTACCACACATCTTTGCAGACGTACAGTAGCTCTGTCTCCCTCCTCCTAACTTACAAATTCCCAGACTTAAACCACTAGAAGATAGCAAGAACTGCAGACGCTGGAGTCAGAGTCATACAGTGTGGAGTTGGAGGAACATAGGAGAGGAGCAGGGAACATCGACAAAAACTTTATGTCCGAGTAAGCCTTTGAAATGCTACAGGAAGGATTAAAGATCCTCCAAATGTTTTCAAAAAAAAAAAAAAAAAAAATCAAGGACATAATAAAAAATACAATTTGCATTAAGATAATCTACTTAGTATCAATCCAGAACAAAACCCTTTCTGATTATTTTACTATTTCTTCCTCAAAGTCTAGACAGTCACCTGCTTCTGAAAGGGCCAACAATATATCAAGTGATTAGGAGTGCCTCAGCCAGTATCCGATTGCCATCCTCAACCTCAGACTACTACAGAGCTTCTGACAAGGATCAGTGGAACAACAGGAGCACATTACCCTTTACAACCTTCCAGATTCAACACAGTTCAACAATCTCATTACTTTTCCTCCTATCGTTTCCACCATAGCGGTTGCTTCGTTGCCAGTTATAACTCGTCTAAAGGAGGTCTTTGGCTATTGTCCCCACCTCTCACCACGCAGCTCGAGATGGAGATTCCATTCCACTGCCTGATGGCCAGGAAAGGTGTGCTTGTAGTAGATTCATCCCAAGCAGCTCCATGACATTGGACTCTGTGCTCTATGGTCTGTTCCCCAGGATTCACATTGAGACAAGCACTGACTGTGCCTGGAGGACCATCAGCTCAGTGAAAGATGCTCTTTGATCTGCTTGAAACATGTTGGTTTTCCACAGCAAGGAACTGACCTTGAGCCACTGTTGCAGACTGACACATTCCAAAATCCAGGAGTACATGCTGAGGGATGCACTAAAGCTGTGGGCAGCTGCCACCAAGGTCCACTGATCCACTGATCCACTGAAGTATAATGGGTGTCCATTCAGTTTTGGGCCCTCCGAAATGTTTTAAATGCATATAAATATAAGTCTTGTATAAGTTAGAAATATTTTGTTTGTTCTATATATGTAAAGACTGTATAAAATTGAACTATTCTAGTGACTTTGTATATAAAGATGTATGAAAGAACATACTTTGAAATTAAAAGTGTGCTCATAATAGTCAAAGAGATTCGTTTTAAACTTGCAATTCCTTCTAACATACAAAGGCAGACATTAAGGGTGGAAATATCATTGGTCATCCAGCTTATGGAACAAAATTGGAGTCTCTACCACCATTATTCACAACTGTAAAAGTGTATGCTGCCACAGAAACTCCCTCTAGGGTTGGTTAAGCTAGATGAATGTTGTGGATCAGATCAGCACCTACTCAGTACAGAGTTTGATATCCATTCTGGCTATGATTGATTAAGGATCTACTTCTTTCCTCTATTCAATGAAGATCACAACATGGGTTGGATGTGCCTTTGAGCAGGAAACTCAAAAGAAGCAGGATCTCCTCTGGACCCAACTTAGACCATCATCACTTAGCCAATTAATCTCTCCAGATTTGAATTTTGTTTCAATCTTTCGTTTTGTTCTTTCTAACCAATTTATTTATTTAATCTTTTGCCAGAATTAGCAAAGGCTATCAGCTTGAAATATTAATGACTGTCTCTCTCTCCCCCTTTACAATTGTTGCTAGATCCGAGTATTTCCAACATTTTATTTTACAAATTTCTAGCCATTTGGTTTTATTCACAGTCTACATCAGCATCCATTTCCTTTCTGGTGGATCTTCATCCCACCCTCCCCTATCCTTTACAAAAAGGAAGATGCAAAAAAACGGTAGCTGTGCTGTTAACGAAGCCATATATACATAGCCACCAGTAGTTGGGGCAAATATATTCTAGAAACGCGCTTCGCGAGGATCGAGAGATTTCAGTCGTTGGTGTATCAGAAAAGAGAGACATTTTTGATAACAGTTTCTCACCAATGAAAAATAATTCGTTTTTAGGTTCTAAGATTAGTTACAGAATTCAAAGCGATCAGCGAGACAATGCACAATATAAAACTTCAAAATCACAACAGGAGCGCAATAAGTAATGCCTCCCTCATTACAAGCGCCGTAAGGAGAAATAATCATCATTACTGAACTATCGATTAAAAAAGCTTCCCAGCGGAGATTTGAAAGCACGTTGCATTTTCTTTTAAAGTTATGGAAATGATTAAACAAAACTACAATCGGATCGAATTCATCGCCGGACGTGTGGAAACCCAGCTCCAGATAAAGGTGCGGCTCAGTTCTCGGGAAGAAGCAACAACACTCTCCATCCCCATCCCAAACCGGACCATCCAGATCAAAACCCTCCACTCTCTGTGGGCTCCAGCCACATTGAAAGAACCAAAATACCGTCCTCACCGTCAGCAGTTGACGCGGGGTACAGTTGTAGGGGAAGGGGTAAAAACAGAAAGCAATAACCACTGGGCAACACCAAGCACTCCCCACCTGGCACCTCCGGATCAGAACAGAAACTTCTCCCCAATCCCTGGGAGAAATGGCGGAAATGCCAGGGACCTGGTCACATGACCCACCCCAGTGACGTCACGTCGGCCCTGCTGCAGGTGTCCGCAGGTGGGCGTTCTCCCGCTGAGCGCATGCGCACCGATCCGCCGCACCTGCGAGCATGCGCATATCGGAGGCCCAGTCCCGCCCGCGTCCCCTCACCTGGGCGCGTGCAGAGTTCCCCACCCCCACTCGACGAGCCCATCTCCTGCAACGGTTGCTGGATTGGACTTCGAAAGACCGTCAAATTCAAACAGGTGTGAAATTACAGTATATCGCTATTCCATTAGATAGGTCCCCAAAATGCACAGAAGTAAAAACTATAGTCGTGGAGCCCAAGAGAAAATGCAGATCTGGCAGCAGCTGTGGAGAGAGAGACAGTTAATGCTTCAGGTCGGTAATCTTGCATTAGAACTGAGGAAAAATAAAAATGTGAATTGCAAAATACTTACAAAACCCAGAGTAAAGGAGATAGGTGTACAGATAGAGTTAAATAAATATGTAGTTGACCATCTGAGATAAGCTGCAATATCACTGTAGTCCCCATAGTGGTGTTAGTGTTGTGCTGAGAAGTTGGAGCCCATACAGCTGGGTGCTTGTTGCTCTATTTAAAATCATTGTTTAATATAACAATAAATTTAGCACGAGCGTGAATGAAGACCTCAGAACCCACATTAGAATGCTATAAATATTGCAGCAGTGATATAGAGACTTTTTTAAAGATACAAGTAGTTCTTCTATAACGCAATAATTGTGTTCTTCTGTGATCTTGTGCTATAGAAAATCACCATGGAAAATCATGTTATAGGGAAATTGCTAAATCTGTACAGCAGAAAGTTCGCATTATCCAGCATCCACTTCATCAATTGCGTTACAGCCAATTTGCGTTAACGAAACACGCATTATAGCAGAACTGCCTGTAGATGGTGCTTGTTTCAGATGAATCTGAAGAAACGTGGGTGCATTAAATAACTACAAGAAAATGAGGCAAAACAATCCTCAGAAAATTTATCAAATTCAAGTAGGTTATCTGGTGAGATGAAATACTTGAAGAATTAATTGGGGTAAAGGGAGGCATATTCAGAAATGACAGCTGGTTCTCACCAGCTGAGAATCCCTGTCCCTTTCAAGGTCCTTTGATGCAGTTGAAGAGCAACGATGGTAGTTGTGGAAGATGGAAATTCCCCAGGTCATCTATGTTCAATTGAAGATTACTATAGCGTCACCAACTCATGCAAAGATGCGGTATGCTCCTAGTTTATTGTGATTAGAACAAGGACTGACCTTCTACCTGGTGAACCAACATACAATGCAACTCAGACACAAAGCATGGTCCGGGAGTAATTTCATGTAACACCAAGCTTCAGTCCAAGCTTGTCGGTCAATAAGGCTGCTTAGCCAAAGGGGAGAAGTTGCTGGGTTGAATAAGATGGCATGTAATATGGTCTGAATTAGGTTTACAATGTATTTATGTGAATACTGCTATGTTAACAGCTGATGATATTACTGGACAAGTCAGATACCAGACAGATTTGCTTTGGTTTTAACAAAGTGGTCTATTGCTGAATAATAAGCATGCAGTGCTGCAGATTTTGCTTTAACAACAAAACAGAAGTTTGTTTAAAAAAATATAAAATAGAATAAATCGAAACATTTACTTATAATAAAAGTTCAAAGATTTTTAAACTCATAATAAAAATGTAATTCTATTAATTCCAAACACTTCTTTGTAAATAAGAACAACAGCTTGTGTATAGTACCCAAAACACGAATTATACAGTGCTGTTAGGTTTAAGTCACTTATGACTTCAACTTTTAGATTGGAACAGTAGATAGCTTGTTCCGAGAGCTATCGCCCATCTAAGCTTCAATGTATTCTGCTTTAAGTAACTGCTTCAGGGCTTTATCCTTATACTTCTGGTCATGGACTAACACTAACTTCTCATCCTAAGATAATCCAATTCACTGTATATCCTTCCCTTCTCAGGAGTACAGATGTAGATGGCATTTTATTCCAAGGACTCCACAGGAGGCCTCCACTCAGAGTCAAAACTGAAACCCAAAGTCCCTTTAAACTATGAGCATTTCTCTCAAGCTTAAAAAAACACAAGTTCCAGAAGTCTATAACAAATCTTGAGGTCCCATAATTTATCTTGCTGGGTCCCAATACAACCTGAAATAAACATGTCCATTAGTACAGAATACTGAAGACAATAACAGTGGAAACTTCAAAAGCACTAGCAATAATCGTTCCGTACTCCTTACGTCTATTGGTGGCATTACAGAGGTGAAGAAATGCAAATGTTACATCCTTTTCAAAACAGAAGTTTTCCATGGAGTACGCCTCTCTGCTGTCTTTTTTTACACGAAGACTCCACATTTCTGACAGAAGACTTCAATCTGTGTTCCTTCAGAGATTTGGAGCATCATTTAAATCCAACAGGTTTCTTGTGGTGCAGGATAGTCAGGAGGGGGCAAAAGGTGTGCCCTTTATTACAGTAGTCGCTTGCCATATTATTTTTATTTAAATGTTCAGCACCACAAACAGCCACTCTGACAGCTCCTGTGAAATTGTAAATATACAAGGTAAGTATGGGTTAGGGCAAAAAGAAGGTAGGGGGATAGATGCAGAGGATGCCATGTGATTAGCAGGTAGCATGCCAGGTAGGTATGGTGGCAGCTTGGTGGGTTAGCAGGTGGGCAGGGTGCCAGGATGCAAGATAAAAAGGAGGCCAGGAAAGTATTTGAGTGTTTAGGGTAGGCCAGGGTGGGTGGAAGATACCTGCTCTGCTGGAGGAGGGGAGGTATTGGGTCCCTTGGGAGCACTGGATCTGGAGGTCGGTCAGGTTTATTGGTACAGCTGCAGATGAGTGGGGATTGTAGGTCTGTGAAGGTGATGTTGGTTTCAGGAGTTTGAAATGCTGGGTTCACTGGGCAAGGAAAAGGCTGTATTCCCAGCAGTAACTGGGGTCACTGGGTCCAAGGAAGAGAAGTGGATTGTTAGATCCAGTGGTAGAAGGGTGTGTCAGGTCCCAGGAATGGGGGCATCATATAGTGTCCAGTGGCAGGGTCTGTTATAGGGTCTTGGGGTTACATGAGTTGTCAGATCTGGTGATAGAGGGTGTTGTTGTGTCCCAGGGGTAGAGGGATTGTTGGGTACTGGGTGGAGAGGGGTTGTTGGGTCATGGGCAGAGTGTGGGAGTGTTGGGCTCCAGGCGGAGAGAGGTTTGTTAGGTCCTAGTGCAGAGAGGCTGTTATTCAGTGATGGGGGATTCCGGGTTCTAGGATGAGATAGGTTGTTGCCTGGTGACAAGGGATATTGGGTACTGGAGGTAGCCCAGAGGTCAGTCCTGCTCACTCTGGGCTGAGGAGTCAGGTTGTATTAATTGCTTGTCATTTAATGTAACCTTCAGGACAATTTCAATAGAACAGTATTGTTACTCATCTATGTGCAAAGTCTATTGTTTGAAACCAGTTAGGTTAGAATCATGTGGAAGTTATTGTAGGATTAATTATATTTTATGTTGACAGTCATCAACAGTTCAAAATCTGCTTTCTGAGCATATTCTGCCCATTAGTCCTGTACCAGAACCCATATACCAAATGAAGGTAAATATTCTGAATCTCATTTCCCTGACTTTTCTCCATTTGCATTCTTTCCCTTTAAAATATACAATTTTCCTTCAGCCAATGTTGTTATCTTTGCCTGAATTGTTATTGTTACTAGGACTGAGTGAAAAATATTGTTATGATTTTCATAGAGATGGAAAATTTTAAAAAGATATTTTAACTTCCATTAACTGACTGAAAGGATCACCCAAGAATATTTCAAATTTTAAGACTTTTACTGTCATACGCAAATGAAACGCAATATTGACAAAACATTATTTAAGTAGGCAACTTGAACTTTAAGCTGTAACAACATTCTCCATTTAACATTTAAAACAACTGAAAATCTCACTTCATGGATATACTTTACCCTGATCCTTAAGTAGACCATCTTTCCTTCCTGGAAACAGTGAGCAATTCTTAGCTCCTGAAGACCTATTTCCTTCTTTTCCTTACTCAGTATGGTAATTCCAACTCCAACTCCCCAGACTGCATTTTATAGTTTTTCTCTTGACCAATAGGTGAATCATGCAGTCTCATGTACCCTGTCTTTCATGAGCCCACACCTAAATTCTTGAGAGGTGAACTATAGAAGCTTGCTGTCTTTATCTGTCTCTGCTTTCTCTCTCTCTCTCCCCCCCCCACACACACACACACACACACACACACACACAGTCAGAGCTTTGCAGACTGATAATCACTGTGAGGTTCAATAATATTTTAAGAGAATACCTTGTAAAGCAATCGTATAAAGCCCTCGATGGACTTTCCTCTTCTCACAGCCATCTCCATGGCAGCATAGAGTCATAGAGATCTACAGCATGGAAACAGGCCCTTCGGCCCAACTTACCCATGCCACCCATTTTTCACAATCTAAACTAGTGCCATTTGCCTCCATTTAGTCCATATCCCTCCATGCCTATCCCATCCACGTACCTGTCTAAATGCTTCTTAAATGACAAAATTGTACTCACCTCTACCACTACCCCTAACAGCCTGTTCCAGACACTCACCACCCTCTGTGTGAAGAAAATTGCCCCTCTGGACTCTTGTTTCTCTCCCATCTCACCTTAAACTATATCCTCAAGTTTTAGACTCCCCCACCATGGAGAAAAGCTGTCGGCCATCTACCTTACCTATGCCTCTCATGATTTTATAAATGTCTATGAGGTCACCCCTCAGTCTCCTATGCTCCAGGGGAAAAAAGTCCCAGCCTATCCAACCTCCCCTTATAACTCAAACCTTCCAGTCTAGGTAGCCGCCTAGTAAATCTTGACTGTACTCTTTCCAGTTTAATAATATCCTTTCTTTTGTAGGGTAGCAAAACTGCATGCAGTACTCCAAATGTGGCCTGCAACAAGACATCCCAACTCCTATACTCAATGCTC